GAATTTTTGAGAATTTAAAAAAAAAAAAAAAAAAAAGGGCCAAAAAACATAAATAAAAAAAAAAAATTGAATCCAACGGTAACTGGCGCCAACTAGCTGTTGGATTCAAATTTCTTTTTAAGCATTCATGTCGGTTATAACTGACAAGATTAATGTTTTTTCTGGCCAGCCTAGGGTTGGCTGGCTGGCTGTATGTCCTTTGGCCCTTTCAGATTCCGTGGGGCCGTCTCAGATTTCACCAGCCCTCTAGCCGGGCCATCGGTTGGAGACGATTTTCGGGCTATTTTCGGCCCTCTGGACCCTTCAATTGAAGATGGCCTTATGAACCAATCGATGTTGTACGTGACCTATCGAATGACATATGCAATTGGGAGCGACAAACTTTTCCCCTTTTGTCAACCATTGGAAGAATCAAAATCATCAGAGTCTATGCACTTCTATAGGAAAGAAATTCTTTCCGGATCTTTACTATCAAGATCACTGGATTAAGTGATTAGGGTTTTTTGAAATTTCATCCAACAGCTAAAAATTGTTATAACTTCTAAGATATCAAAACAGATAAACCGTGGGATGAAATTTGAAAGTTTGGATCATTTGATCCGGTGACCTTGGTTGGAGATGATCACTTTCCACTTCGATATATATATGACCTTTCATCTATCACAAACAAACATAAGATACCACCACAGATTTTCTATTACCCTAGTACCTTTACTTCCCAATCTTCGTTTCTAAATCCTATGGGTAGTGAAAATCGTGAGTTCCACATCTTCTTGTTCTCTTTTATGGCTCACAACCACATGATACTGATTTCCAATATGGCCAAGCTTTTTGCATCCCACGAAGTAAAAACCACCATAGTCACCACTCCTCTAAGCGTCTTAACATTCTCCAAAGCCACCTAATCGAGCAAATTCTGTACCAACAGTGTCCCAGTTGAAATCAAAACCATTAAGTTTCCTTCTATAAAAGCCGGTTTGCCAGAAGGGTGTGAGAATCTTGACCTACTCCCCTCACCAGAATTAGCCAGCAGCTTCTTCAAAGCAACAAGCTTTCTCCAAGAACCGCTTGAGCAACTTATGATTGAAGAAAACCCTAGTTACCTTGTGGCAGACATTTTTTTTCCTTGGGCAACAGATGCTGCTACGAAGTTCGATATTCCGAGGCTGGTTTTTCATGGTACTAGTTTCCTTGCCTTGGCGGTGTTAGAGAGTATGAGCCTTTCAAGAATACTTCATTGGATTCCGAACCTTTCGTGATTCCAGATTTTCCTAGTGGGATTACGATGACAACAACCTAAGTGCCTGATTTTATCAAGGAAAATATGGAAAACGATTTGATCCGGTTACTCAAATGGGCTAAGGAATCTGAGCAAACGAGCTATGGAATTGCTGTGAACAGTTTCTATGAGCTCGAAACGGTTTATGCTGATTATTACATAAACGTTTTGGGGAGGAAGGCTTGGCATATAGGCCTTGTTTCGATATGCAATGGAAGAAATGAAAAAAAAAGGACTTAGAGGAAAAGTAGCTTCTATCAACGAGCACAATTGATTGAAGTGACTTGATTCAAAAGAACCCAATTCAGTTGTTTATGTATGTTTTGGAACCGTGGCTAAATTCAATGCCTCTCAGCTTAAGGAGATTGCAATGGGGCTTGACGCTTCTGGGTAGGACTTCATTTGGGTTGTGAGGAGAGGACAAGATGATGACGTGGAGAAAGAGGACTAGTTGCCAGAAGGGTTTAAGGATATGATGGAAGGGAAAAGACTAATAGTAAGAGGGTGGGCTGATAACTTATATATTTCATACATTTATACCATCCATTCCTAGTCCCTTTATGATATTTTTTTTAGTTAAAATAGTTGCATTTTACCCTCTTTTGTGTTAGTGTGTAGCTAATCGTATTTTGGAGCTCAGTTGAGGACAAATAAGGCAAAATGGTGCTAAAAGTGGAAAATTGAATAAGGATACTAATGTAGACAAAGAATTAAAAGTGGAAACTGAATATGGTGATGAATATGGCTGTTTATAAGACCAATAACAACAAAAAAACGTTGGAATTAAATGCCCAATTACTAGGATGTATTGGCAATCTGTAACAGCCTCTTTAACCTTATAAAACTGAAAGTTCCAACCACTTTTACATAAGCTTCCCCTTGGGGACAGCCATAACTCTCTTTCTTATCTTTCTTTGGCTTTTCTTCCAGAAACAAAATCCTTTCTCCATTCACCATCCGCAGCCACCAAAGAAACCACACAACCGCACTGTTCTTGGAGAATTTCAACATCATAATTGCTTCAATGAGGTTATATATTCTGTAATCATGTTGTGTAATTAAGTTCATAGCTGGGGATTTCGATGTAGCCTTGCAAACCTACTCTATGTTATTAAGTTAAAGTATTCAAATTACCAATATGTGTTCTTGTTTCATTCACTGATTTTATAGTATAATTTGTTTGTTAATCTTAATGTTTGATCACCATTAGGGCTGCTTATGAATTATTTAATCAAGTTTATAGTACACATCATGCTTAATCTTGGTGGACATGTGAATGAATGAAGAAACTGTTATGCATACATCCTGCCATGTGATTTCTTTGGTTCTTTGAAGTTTTCTTGATCTTAATGGATTCTTACTTACTAATCTAAGTTGAACATCACAAATAGGTTGCATATTAGTACTTGATCATAACCACACATCAAATGGATGATCATAAATAAGTAAAATGAACCCTAGTTGGAGATTGGAGAGTTGAATACATTTGACTTAATTTTCATGGAATTGACTTGTAATGGTGAAATTGGTATCCCTAGTTCCATTTCCATTGTTTTTGAATCATTCTATTATTCATATTTACATTCTCTTGCATCTTAAGTTACTTTACTTCTCAAATCAAAATCAAAACTCAATTTGTTAGTTTCATTGTTTAGTTAGGGTTCACATAAAGCTAGTAATTTGTAGAGGTCTAATCAGTCCCTGTGGTTCGACACCCTTACTTGTGCCATTATACTATCCTTATATTTGCACTTAAATGAACAAAACATGGGCCCCGCAGGTTCTGATTCTTGATCATGGGGTTATTGGCAGGTTTGTGACTCACTGTGGGTGGAACTCGGCGTTGGAAGGGATTACGGACGGGCTGCCGATGGTGACGTGGCTGGTGTCAGCAGAGCAATTTTACAACAAGAAGCTGGTGACTCAAGTGCTGAAGATTGGTGTTGGAGTTGGCACTCAGAAATGGGTTAGGGTTTTGGGGGATAACATGAAGAAGGAAGCCGTTGAGAAAGCTGTGAGGAGGATTATGGTGGGTGAGGAAGTAGAGGAAATGAGAAGTAGAGCTAGGGAACTTTCAAAGCATGCAAAAAGGGCTATTGAGAAAGGAGGATCATCGCATTCTGATTTGAATGCTTTAATTGAAGAGTTGAGCTCTTGTGGTTAAAATGTTGGAGCACACATTCGGATAATACGTTACTCGATGAGTATTTTGGAGTAACAATTGTTTTGGGTACAATCCATGTTGAGGAGATGAACTAAAAGTTTAATGCTTGTCTTTTAGCCCAAGACAAAACCTTGGCGGTACCTTTATTTATCTGGTGTTCTGTTTCTTTACTCCGCTATTTTGACTCGTCATATGATAAGAATTATAGATATAAGAAAATACGGTACATGTGTTTACGAGAACAGAATTTCGCATGATATAACCTGCATGTACTTTAACATAAACACCTAAGCATGAGTCATGACATTGGTTGTGATCACACAAGTAAACCTTAGAAAATGATTTTCTATCTTTTTCTTGGTCTCCCCTCAAATAAGTCAGATCATCTTACAAAAAGTTATCGAGCATCCTTCTTTACAAGGCGATCAAGGACTTTGTACTCACTATTCCGTAAAGCTTTTCACCAGTCTTCAAGCTAAATACTTTTCTATTTAATATGCCTAAGTCTAGCTTGTCGGACTACACTCTATGAGCTTCGAGTATACCTGATATTCGTATCATGTTTTTTGTTTTTGTGTTGTTTTCGTGGCATACCAGATATTTTAACGAGTCGTGATGTGTAACACCCATTAAAAATAAACAGGTAATATTACTCGATCCAAAATTGACCCCTTAATATTATCAGGTAATATAACCTGATCCGTTACCCGTTAAAGAAAATATATTTTAAATCAATAAATAATGAACATGAAAAATATAATTTCACAAAAAAAATGAAAAGCATAATACTAAATTAGTATATGCATATTACTTTGTCGCATAAATATTACTTTAAAACATTAAAAAAAAAACATTTATCTTTCAAGTATTACATACCCCAAAATAAGAGTCTAATGAAAAAATATTAGTACATTACTACAAAATACTAAATGTTCAAGGATATGCAAAATGAAGGGAGTTGCATTTCAAGGTTGAGGATAAAATCACAAACGTTTATATATGCTTTCACATTTTTCAAACTTATATATTAATGATCATGAATTTTATTTATTTTGAATTCCCTTAAATATACTATTCATGAGGGTTTGTATGTTTCTAAAATTTCAAATGGCAATGTACTAATTCTCAAAGCGTAGAGGGCCGATCACGAGCGTTTGCCTATTTTTTCACATCATTTGTACTTTTAAATTAATTAATATAATTTTTTCAATATATTTAGCATTTTTAAATTACTTGATATTTTATTTTTAACGTGTTTTATAATTTTCTATCTCACTCTTTGCTTGTAGTATACTATAAAAATAAATAAATAAAACTTAAAATTTTAAATTTATATAAAATAATAATACAATAATATATATTTGATATACATTAGATACATTATTTCTATACTAAAATCCAAACTCAGGTACTGTTCACGGACGGTAAAATGGCAAAAATAGCATCGGTTTGGTTTATTCCTTTCCCTGGCGTTTTTTCACTTTGCTGCACAGTTAAAGGGCGGATTTGCCCTCCTTTGCCATGCGTGTTCTTCGCGGACCACAACGTTTCTGTCTCTCTCTCAGAAACCTTTTTGTTTCTCTCAAACCTCTCTTTGCCTTGCTCTCCGATCTCCACTTCTTTATGTGTCTTGCTTTCTTCCAGAAAACGCTTAAGTTAGTCAAATTTGTTTAGATCTTTTCGTTGGGGGTTACAAACGGCAACGCTCTCTTGCTGAAAAATAGCGAATTTGGTCTCGATTTGAAGAAAATTTGAAGCGCATAAAAGATCGCTTCTCCTGTTGCCGATTTGATTTGGGAAATTGTCTGCTTTGAATGTTATGTGCTTGGGAGTTTAAATTTGGATTTTAAATGGGTTTTTTGTTCAAATTTTTTGGTTGTGATTTTGGGAATTTTGTTTATAGCTTCGGATTCTAGGTGATGATGGTTAATTTGGTTTTGTTTTCGATTTCAGAGGATCGGGTTTTTCGAATTTGTGACTTTCCTTTGAAGCCTGCGAAGACCTCTGTGTTTAAGGTGAGTGGTTTTGAAATTCCATTGTTTTGATTCTACTTGCAGCCTGAGGTGGTCTGAAATTTCCAAGCTTTTTGATTAATCTTAAGCCAGATTAGTTAACTATAATTAAATTAATTTTTCTTTTTCCGGTTATATAGCAGAAGTAGATAAAGTTAAGAAAGAACAATTGTGGCTTAAAGTCTTCGTATTTGAAAGTTGAATCTCAGCCTTTGAAAGGCTTTGTGAACGTGTCCTCACGTGTGCGGCAGACCTTCATAGCAATTTGGGGTGAGTCTTCATTATCCAGTACATGTTACTGTGTTTCAGTTTGTTCATTTTCTTTCAAGCCCTGTGTTGGTCGCTCTCCAATCTTCTCATCTTTTTCAAGCCCTGTGTTTCAGTTTGTTCATTTACTCTTTGTATATTGTGGAGGTTGAATTTTGTATATTGTGAAGGTTGAATCTGTGCAAATCCATTTTTTCTGATTATTTATAGTTTGAGTAGCTTTGCAACAATTTGATACTGTTGGAAATCTATTGCATAAATCGAATACAAAGCTTGCTGCTAGCTTTTATGAAGAAGCAGTTCGATCATTAGTCTCAATCAAAGCTTCAAATGGTGAATTTTAAGATTGAACAAAATTAAATTTCTGTATTAAAAGTCAGTGAGCATTATTAGTTTGTTCTGATGATTTGATGGTATCATGCTTTGCAGATTATATATTAAGCAAGCTCCATCAAGCACTTTGTTTTTTTATTTAGATGATGAGGTCGACTGAGCAAAATATAAAATTAAAGAAACCAACATGTTTACTATAGACAAGTATCGACAGGTGAAGCTTTCCGATTGTTTGCAAATAGGATCAGTAATCAGTTACTGCATGTGAAGCTATAGCTGAGAGATTAGTTTTTATGATGAATTGTTTTCTGTTGAACATCCATTGTGATTACTCTACAGATTGACTTCTTTCCCAATGAGAAAGTGTTTTCCCTAAGGTATCAGAAGGCTAGGATGGACAAACTGTAATAAGATATTCTTAAGTGAATACGATGTGCCATTAAACCGGATGAAGCTTATGGTCTTATATTGTTTTTTGACAATGTTGTGGTAAGTTTCTATAACACTTAAAAGAGATCTAATTTTGTAACAATTATTTTTTCTGGCAAGGGTAAAATTTTATTTTAAGAAGATAAAAAATTAAAATTAGAATGAAAATTCTAATTATTACATATTACAATAATTTATTTATATCTATAGAACAAGGATAAATAATTATACCAAAAACAGTGTTTGGTATGGATCATAAAGCCCATAACTAAAACTATTTATTGTAATTCAGTTATTTAGAATCATTAACCAATTTGTTTTCTAACTAATTGTTTGTCTTCCATTCCCATATCTATTTATTTAATCATATTCTTAGATCATGTAGGAAAACTAGCAAGGATCAATGATGCTGCTTTCTAAATAGTTACCCTTCTTATCACAAACCAAACCACATTGCATGTAACATTCTTTCCAAGCAATCCATATGTCGACATGGGTAAGCATTGTTTTTCTATTTGTACTTTATTATACATTTGTTCACATTATTTTCATCAACAATTTGTTATTATGAAAGAATTAGCTTCATTTTTTTTTGCAAGTTGGTATTTCCAATTTGGTAGATATACTATATTCAGACATTTGAACACAGTCGACCATCCATACACAGTTTTCAAATTATACTTTCCGTTTTGGGATTTCTTTGTCAAACCCCTTGGAACTTTGTGTGTAAAATTTCGTGTTCCTTCCTTTTAGCTGATAGAATTAGGCTGAAGCTTTATTGCCTTTCGATTATATTCAATCATGTTAGGCTTTACTATTGTTTCCATTTTCAGAAGAATTAAGTATTGGTTAGGCTTATCTCCATAAGACCGTAAGCTAACTAAAACCAAAGACACAAAGCGCAGTAAAAAAAGAAAAATTGATTAAATAATTATTAAAGAACAATACTCATTTGGCATTGGGAAATCCTAAGGGATAATTGAGGAAAAGCTCCTTTACGAAGATAAGAAAGAATTTTTGACAATAGAAATCAACCGATAGTGTCTGTCTTTTAAAGCTCTTATTTTCATAACCATTTAGGGTTGTTCTATCTTTAATCAGCTCATTTTCCTCATGCGAATCGCGGAAGCTACATCGGAATTTCTTTTATATAATTTACATCTCATAAGAAATGCTAGAAAATTGACTGGTAATTAACAATATTACCATTTAGATGATTTCAGTTGTTCTTATTGAAACTATTTAATTGAATTCTACTATTTAGAGAGAAACATGTAAATTGTTATATGTAATTCTGAGAAGGGAGATATAATGACATTACTATGTTTTTAGTTCGATTCAACAATGCAATCTGTTACCTTCCTTTGCAGTTACTTTTATTTCAAGATATTGCAGTCTTCTTTCAATCCCACAGGTCAGCGTATTCAATATGTAACTATACTCTCTCAAATGCTCTTACACAATCAATTGGTTTGGAAATCTGTTTGTTTTCTATTCTAGCATTTTTCGCCTTTATCAAGGTATGCTTATTAGGTTTACACATGCTTTAAATACAATTCTCAAATACTCTAAATCTAAGGTATCCTAATAATCTTAACATAGATCTGAAACTCTTTTGTGCAGAAAGGAAATACCTCTTCACAACCAACTCAATCAAAGTAAACTTTTACTGCTTTTAAAAACATTATCTCAACTATCAACTCAAGTAAGTTCTCAGTTTTCAACCATTAGACCACATAACATTACACTAGCCTTCATGCACTTGCGTGAGCGCGTGCAGAAAACATTTTTTGAATCACAGCGTGTTATGCGTGACTTACACATTTTAAATGTATTTATATGCGTAAATTGACAAAGTAAATGAATAATTTATGATCATGCTAGAAGAAACCCATCATAAACCAATTAAAGCAGCTGAATCCACGTAATAAAATCGGTCTTTATAAAATTTACATTAAGAATAGAGAAAATAATATTTAATAAACTGATTGAATCACATTTTGCATGTCACATCCCCGCCCGGGGCAGACCACTTCCCGGGCCCGCTCCACCACCGTAGCACGATATTGTCCGCTTTGGGCTTACCATTCCCTCACGGTTTTGTTTTTGGGAACTCACGAGCAACTTCCCAGTGGGTCACCCATCATGAGATTGGTCTAGCCCCCTTCTCGCTTAACTTCGGAGTTCCTACGAAACCCGAAGCCAGTGAGCTCCCAAAAGGCCTCGTGCTAGGTAGGGATGAGAATATACATTTAAGGATCACTCCCCTGGGCGACGTGGGATGTCACAATCCACCCCCCTTAGGGGTCCGACGTCCTTGTCGGCACACACGCGGTCAGGGTTAGGCTCTGATACCAAATTGTCATGCCAAATATCATAACTGAATGCTCAACATTTCTATGTGAATCTGAGGGAATAACATATAATCAATTCAACGCTCGGCCATAAACATAATTCATACTCTATCATCATAATCAACTCAGCCTTTGGCTGCATATATAGCTCATAATTATCTCATCTCATCATGTATATATATGTATAACCTGCACACAATCAATACCACCTCACGTGGTTTGCAATTCATCATCGTATATAACATAGTATGCTCTAATGCTACAATCACGTGAAGCTGTGCGATAAATCGCGGGTCACCTACAAGTCGAACCCACATAAGTGGTCTATACGACAGGCTGTGCACCTAACTTGGATCCAAGGCGAGCATGCGGTGCGGGAGATGAACATACACGTGAAGGCTATGCCCCTATCTCTAGGCGGGAGCACTTATATACATGTGCAAGTAAATGAGCTTTCAATTACATCCCAATCATATAATTCATCATATCTCCATCATATCTCAATCGTATAATTCATCATATTCCAATCACATCTCAATCATATCACAATTATACCTCAATCATAACTCAATCGTATCACAATTGTATCTCAAACATATCTCAATCACATTTCATACGTATATCAACTGTATTTCGTACGTATTTCAAATGTATATTATACATATTTTATACGTATTTCAAATGTATATTATACGTACTTTATACGTATATAAAATGTATTTTAATCATATGTACTCACATGTAACTTACCTGGGCCTTCTCAGCACAATGCAACAATATACATAATTATAGTAATGCACATTCTAAAATATGATGCATACATGATAAGTTACTTAAATCGTATTTCTTTTAAAATACGTTTTCTGGGAAATACGTCAAGTATACGTATATATATACTGAAAAATAACTGCCCACTCATTGATAAGTAGCCGGTTCGTAACCTCCTCGCCTAGATTGGTTACGTTCTTCGTCTGTATAATTTTCACCTATACAAAAATAATTATAAAACATCATTTAAACGCACATACACAAACATTCGTCAATAACTTTCTCATACGTTGCTCAATTTGGGTATGTGAATATACCACGGTGATCTACACGACATCACGAACACGTGACAATTTTCGGAACTTGATTTGGGTCTCTCACGCGCCCTCACGAGCCACTTCTACGCGCTGCCCACGCGCGCGTCTTCTTCCTCGAGTCGCCGGACTGGTTTCGCCGGAGGTGGGTGTTTTGCCGGAATTTCTGGGTAAACTTCAAAGTGTCATAACTTCTTCATTTCTTAACCATTTTCGACGTACTTTATATCAAAATGAAGGTATTGACGAGACGAACACATCCATACCTGCCTTGACCCCTAACTCGGCTTGGATTCACCAGAAAAAGCCCCGAAAGCTCTGGCCAAACTTTGAACTTGTCGTTCTCCGTGTTCTTACGTCCAAACACTTCCAACGAACTACTCCAAGCCTTATTAGGACCTCAAGAAGCTTCCTATAAGCTTGAAAAGTCTTAAAAATCAACCAATAAAAAGTTGATGAATAGTACCTAAACTAGAGTTCGTATTTTCGACGTGAAAACGTTATAGTTCTTACCTGAAATTGGTATGGTTGGACTCGTATCGTCGAAACGAAGAAGATGGTAATTTTTGTTTCATCGATCTGTGAAGTTTTGATGAACTTGTTGTTTTGGCCGTGGGTTTTTGAGAGAGAAAGAGAATGAGAGCTTGAGCTGGACGGGAGAGATGAGAGTTGAGTGAGTTTGAAGGAGCTGAGGGAAAAAGAGAGAGTGAGTCACAAATGAGAGGAAATCACGGAAAAGAAAAGAAAAAAAAAAAAGGTAAGGTTTCCTGTGCAATCCGTGTGTGCACAGTGAAACTTAATCATTCTTAATCATCATAAACGGCCGAAAACGTCTCTTTCATCCAACTTTAATAAAGATTTCGGGTTACTATCAGTTGAAGATTAAGAGTGACGATGTTTACAAAACGGCTTTTAGAACTCGTTATGGTCATTATGAGTTCCTGGTGATGCCGTTTGGATTGACGAATGCACCAGCAGCTTTTATGGGTTTGATGAATAAAGTATTCCAGAAATACTTGGATAGATTTGTCATTGTTTTTATCGATGACATTCTAGTGTATTCCAAGTCGGAAGCAGATCATATTCAACATCTTACTCTGGTGTTGGAGAAATTAAGAGAACATCGTTTGTATGCTAAGTTTAGCAAGTGCCAATTTTGGTTAAATGAAGTGGCATTCTTGGGACATGTCATATCAGCTCAGGGTATTCTGGTAGACCCTCAGAAGATAGCAGCTGTGGAGAATTGGGAACAGCCACGAACAGTCACCGAGGTACGAAGTTTCCTTGGCTTAGCAAGTTACTATCGATGGTTTGTTAAGAATTTCTCAGTTATCGCTTTACCACTTACCAAGTTGACTAGAAAGGAAGTCAAGTTTGAGTGGGATAGTAAGTGTGAGCAGAGTTTTCAGCAACTTAAGCATTGTCTCACTCATGCACCTGTTTTGGCACTTCCTGACGACGGTGGTAATTTCGAGATTTACAGCGATGCTTCGTTGAATGGCCTGGGATGTGTGTTAATGCAGCATAGTAGAGTGATTGCTTATGCTTCACGTCAGTTAAAGCCTCATGAAAAGAATTACCCTACTCATGATTTGGAATTAGCAGCCATTATATTTGCCTTGAAGATTTGGAGACACTATCTTTATGGAGAAAAGTGTAAGATCTTTACGGATCACAAGAGTCTTCAGTACATTTTCACGTAGACAGAGCTTAATCTTAGGCAACGAAGGTGGTTAGAGTTGCTTAGCGATTATGATTGCACGATTGAGTATCATCCTGGTCGTGCTAATGTGGTGGCTGATGCTTTGAGTAGGAAATCCCAAGGTCGGGTTAACGCTTTGTATGCTTCTCGTGTTCCTCTTCTTGCAGATTTGAGGTCCACTGGAGTGGAATTGGGATTGGAGGAACAAGAGGAAATGGTGGTAGGACGAGAAGAAGCCTTACTTGCTAGTTTCCAAGTTAGGCCTATTTTGATGGATCGTATACTTGAAGCTCAAGGAAGTGACAAAGAAGTTCAGAGTTTAATCCTTGCAGTTTCTCAAGGAAAGAAGAAAGATCTCAATGTTCGTGAATCTGATGGCATGCTTATGCAGGATAAGCGGATGTACGTGCCAAATAATGCGGATTTGAAGAAAGAGATTCTTGATGAAGCGCATATTTCAGCATATGCAATGCATCCAGGAGGCACTAAGATGTATCATACCATTAGACCATTTTACTATTGGCCAGGTATGAAAAGAGAAATTGCAGAGTATGTCAGTAGGTGTGCAGTTTGTCAGCAGGTCAAAGCTGAAAGGAAGAAACCGTTTGGTTTGATGCAACCGCTTCCCGTTCCACAGTGGAAATGGGAAAACATCACTATGGATTTTGTGTACAAGCTTCCTCGTACACGAAACGGTTATGATGGCGTTTGGGTGATTGTAGACCGACTTACTAAGTCAGCGCACTTTATTCCAGTGAGAGAAAAGTATTCTCTGAATAAATTGGCTGAGCTGTTTATCACTAAGATTGTGAAGTATCATGGGGTTCCAGTGAGTATTGTTTCGGATCGAGATCCTAGATTCACTTCTAAGTTTTGGACAGCTTTTCAGGAAGCTCTTGGTACGAGATTGCTTTATAGTACGACATATCATCCCCAGACAAATGGTCAGTCTGAGAGGACCATACAGACTTTGGAAGATATGTTAAGATCTTCTGTAATGCAGTTTAGCGATGATTGGCATGCAAAGTTGGATTTAATGGAGTTTGCTTATAATAACAGTTACCATTCCAGCATCGGGATGGCACCGTTTGAAGCTCTATATGGAAAGTCGTGTCGTACTCCTCTGTGTTGGTCAGAGGTCGGGGAAAGAGTTTTGGTGGGCCCTGAGATAGTGGAGGAGACTACTCAGAATGTCCAAGTGATTAAGTCTAACTTGAAAGCGGCCCAAGATCGGCAGAAGAGTTTAGCGGACATGCATGCTACTGATCGAGTGTATGAAGTTAATAATTGGGTATTCTTGAAGCTATCGCCTTGGAAGGGAGTTGTAAGGTTCGGGAAAAAGGGTAAGCTAAGTCCTAGGTATATCGGACCTTATCAAATCACCGAGCGAGTTGGTGAAGTTGCATACAGGCTTGAGTTGCCTTCAGAACTGTCTAAAGTGCATAATGTATTTCATGTTTCGATGCTTCGTCATTACATTGCAGATCCATTGCATGTAATTCCAATTCAACCTTTGGAGATTAGCCCGGATTTGACTTATGATGAAGAACCAGTGACTATCTTGGATTGGAAAGAGAAAGTTCTGAGAAATAAGACGGTGCAGTTGGTAAAAGTATTGTGGAGGAACCACTCGGTGGAAGAGACTACTTGGGAAACAGAGGATCGGATGAGAGAGATGTATCTGAGATTGTTTTATGACTATTAGTGTTGTATTTTGATTATGTAAATTTCGGGGACGAAATTTCTATAAGGAGGGTAAGTTGTAACGACCCGTCCCAAAATAACATTTTCATATGTGTGAAGTGTGTTTAATTACCCTAAATTTTTTTTTAAAGTTGGATGAAAGAGACGTTTTCGGCCGTTTATGATGATCAAGAATGATTAAGTTTCACTGTGCACACACGGATTGCACAGGAAACCTTACCTTTTTTTTTTTTTTCTTTTCCGTGATTTCCTCTCATCTGTCCCTCACTCTCTTTTTCCCTCAGCTCCTTCAAACTCACTCAACTCTCATCTCTCCCGTCAAGCTCAAGCTCTCATTCTCTCTCAAAAACCCACGGCCAAAACAACAAGTTCATCAAAACTTCATAGATCGACGAAACAAAAATCACCATCTTCTTCGTTTCAACGATACGAGTTCAACCATACCAATTTCAGGTAAGAAATATAACGTTTTCACGTCGAAAATACGAACTCCGGTTTAGGTACTATTCATCAACTTTTTATGGGTTGATTTTTAAGACTTTTCAAGCTTATAGGAAGCTTCTTGAGATCCTAAGGAGGCTTGTAGTAGTTCGTTGGAAGTGTTTGGACGTAAGAACACGGAGAACGACAAGTTCAAAGTTTGGCCGGAGCTTTCGGGGCTTTTTCTGGTGAATCCACGCCGAGTTAGGGGTCAAGGCAGGTATGGATGTGTTCGTATCGTCAATACCTTCATTTTGATATAAAGTACGTCGAAAATGGTTAAGAAATGAAGAAGTTATGACAATTTGAAGTTTACCCAGAAATTCCGGCAAAACACCCACCTCCGGCGAAACCAGTCCGGCGACGCGAGGAAGAAGACGCGTGCGTGGGCAGCGCGTAGAAGTGGCGCGTGAGGGCGCGTGAGAGACCCAAATCAAGTTCTGAAAATTGTCACGTGTTCGTGACGTCGTGTAGATCACCGTGGTATATTCACATACCCAAATTGAGCAACGTATGAGAAAGTTATTGACGAATGTTTGTGTATGTGCGTTTAAATGATGTTTTATAATTATTTTTGTATAGGTGAAAATTATACAGACGAAGAACGTAACCAATCTAGGCGAGGAGGTTACGAACCAGCTACTTATCAATGAGTGGGCAGTTATTTTTCAGTATATATATACGTATACTTGACGTATTTCCCAGAAAACGTATTTTAAAATAAATACGATTTAAGTAACTTATCATGTATGCATCATATTTTAGAATGTGCATTACTATAATTATGTATATTGTTGCATGGTGCTGAGAAGGCCTAGGTAAGTTACATGTGAGTACATATGATTAAAATACATTTTATATACGTATAAAATACGTATAATATACATTTGAAATACAGTTGATATACGTATGAAATGTGATTGAGATACAATTGTGATACGATTGAGGTATAATTGTGATATGATTGAGATGTGATTGGAATATGATGAATTATATGATTGAGATGTGATTGAAAGCTCATTTACTTGCACATGTATATAAGTGCTCCCGCCCAGAGATAGGGGCATAGCCTTCACATGTATGTTCACCTTCCGCACCGAATGCTCGCCCTGGATCCAAGTTAGGTGCACAGCCTGTCGTATAGACCACTTATGTGGGTTCGACTTGTAGGTGACCCGCGATTTATCGCACAGCTTCACGTGATTGTAGCACTAGAGCATACTATGTTATATACGATGATGAATTGCAGACCACGTGAGGTGGTATTGATTGTGTGCGGGTTATACATATATATACATGGTGAGATGAGATGATTATGAGCTATATATGCAGCCAAGGGCTGAGTTGATTATGATGATAGAGTATGAATCATGTTTATAGCCGAGCGTTGAATTGATTATATGTTATTCCCTCAGATTCACATAGAAATGTTGAGCATTCAGTTATGATATTTGGCATGACATACATTCATATTGTTCAGCATGATTTGATATATATTACGTATATGATTATATACTTTAGTTCTGGGAAACTATACTTGTTTTACGGCGAGGGGTTAGTATATTTAAAAGAGAAAAGAAGGTTTTGAATACGTTCGTTTTGCTGACCCACTCAACTTTGTTTTGCGCCCATCCAGGTTCTAGGTAGCGTATATCGGTGAGTCTCGAGGTGTCCAGCTGAAAGTTCTGACAAACCACCACTCATGTAGGATCATCGTCGAGTGTTGTTAAATATGTACATCTTATGTTTGACTGCACTTAGACATTGTGCTCTGGTTGTGTAATCACACTTAAACTTTCATTAGAACTTATCGTATTTGGTTTTAATTAGTCGTACTTTTCTTATAAAATATCGCTTCCGCATAGCGCACATGGCTACGTCACGCTCACGTGACGGCCAGCATGCCTTTACTTCGGTCGGGGTGTGTCAGTTTGTGGATTGTGACATCCCACATCACCAGGGGAGTGATCCTTAAATGTATATTCTCATCCCTACCTAACACGAGGCCTTTTGGGAGCTCACTGGCTTTGGGTTCCATGGGAACTCCGAAGTTAAGCGAGTAGCGCACGAGAGCACTCCTATGATGGGTGACCCATTGGGAAGTTGCTCGTGAGTTCCCAAAAACAAAACCGTGAGGGAATGGTAAGCCTAAAGCGGACAATATCGTGCTACGGTGGTGGAGCAGGCCCGGGAAGTGATTCGTCCCGGGTCGGGATGTGACAATTTGGTATCAGAGCCTAACCCTGGTCGTGGTGTGCCGACGAGGACGTCGGGCCCCTAAGGGGGGTGGATTGTGACATCCCACATCACCCAGGGGAGTGATCCTTAAATGTATATTCCCATCCCTACCTAACACGAGGCCTTTTGGGAGCTTACTGGCTTTGGGTTCCATGGGAACTCCGAAGTTAAGTGAGTAGCGCACGAGAGCACTCCCAGGATGGGTGACCCATTGGGAAGTTGCTCGTGAGTTCCCAAAAACAAAACCGTGAAGGAATGGTAAGCCCAAAGCGGACAATATCGTGCTACGGTGGTGGAGCGGGCCCGGTAAGTGATTCGCCTCGGGCCGGGATGTGACAATTTGGTATCATAGCCTAACCCTGGTCGTGGTGTGCCGACGAGGACGTCGGGCCTCTAAGGGGGGTGGATTGTGACATCCCACATCACCCAGGGGAGTGATCCTTAAATGTATATTCCCATCCCTACCTAACACGAGGCCTTTTGGGAGCTCACTGGCTTTGGGTTCCATGGGAACTCCGAAGTTAAGCGAGTAGCGCACGAGAGCACTCCCAGGATGGGTGACCCATTGGGAAGTTGCTCGTGAGTTCCCAAAAACAAAACCGTGAGGGAATGGTAAGCCTAAAGCGGACAATATCGTGCTACGGTGGTGGAGCGGGCCCGGGAAGTGATTCGTCCCGGGCCGGGATGTGACATTGCAAGCCCATTTTGAGGTTAAGCCCACCTTCTCCTCTTTAGTGTGGATAATATTGTTTGTTAAAAAAAAAAATCATTTAACAACTAATTTAATCACATTATTATTCGCGTGTGAAAGATTTTTTTTATAACAGGCATTACACGTCTCTTAAGAAGTTTTGAACGTGTTTAAAAATAAAGAAAATAATGTTGAATGAACAGCTGATTGAATCATATTATTGTTAGCCTATTATGTGGTACCAATAAAAAAAAAGTTCAACAAAATTAATTATTTAAAAAACAATGTTAAAATTACGAAAATGCCCCTGTATTATTTGAATCACAGTGTGCTACGTGTGATTTACATGTTTTAAATGTATTTATATGCGTAAAGTGACAAAAGAAAAGTCAAATATTTGAAGTGTCACATCCTGGTCAAGGGTCCACCACATCCCAGGCCTACTCCACCACCGTAGCACGATATTGTCCGCTTTGGGCTCCAACTACGCCCTCACGGTTTTGTTTCTGGGAACTCACACGAGAACTTCCCAGTGGGTCAACCATCATGGGAGTGCTCTCGCGCGCTAGTCGCTTAACTTCGGAGTTCTCATGGAACTCGAAGTCAGTGAGCTCTCAAAAGGCCTCGTGCTAAGTAAGGATGAGAATATACATATAAAGATCACTTCCTTGGGCGATGTGGGATCTTACAATTCACCCCCTTAGGGGCTCGATGCCCTCGTCGGCATATCACAGGGTTAGGTTCTGATACCAAATTGTCACATACTGCTCCAGGGCCTACCACATCTCGGGCCCGCTCCACCATCGTAGCATGATATTGTCCGCTTTGGGCCCCGACAATGCCCTTACGATTTTGTTTCTGGGAACTCACGCGAGAACTTCCCAGTGGGTCACCAATCATGGGAGTGCTCTTGCACGTTACTAGCTTGACTTCGGAGTTCCCATGGAACTTGAAGCCAGTGAGCTCCCAAAAAGCCTTGTACTAGGTAGGGATGAGAGTATACATATAAGGATCACTCACCTGGGTAATGTGGGATCTTACAATTTACCCTCCTTAGGGGTCCAACGTCTTCTTCGGCACACTGCGGCCAGAGTTAGACTCTGATACAAAATTGTCACATCCCGGCTCGGGGTCTACCACATCTAGGGCCCGTTCCACCACCGTAGCACGATATTGTTCGCTTTGGGTCTCAAATACGTCCTCACGGTTTTATTTCTGGGAACACACACGATAACTTTTCAGGGGGTCATCCATCATGGGAGTGCTCTTGTGGCTACTCGCTTAACTTTGGAGTTCCTATGGAACTTGAAGCCAGTAAGCTGTCAAAAGGCCTCGTGCTAGATAAGGATGAGAATATACAGATAAGGATCACTCGCCTGGGCGATGTGGGATCTTACAATCCACCCCTCTTAGGGACCCGACGTCCTTGTCGGCACACCACGGCCAGGGTTAGGCTCTGATACCAAATTGTCACATCCCGGTGAGGGGTCCACCACATCTCGGGTCCGCTCCACCACTGTAGCACGATATTGTCCGCTTTGGGCCCCGACCACACCCTCACGGTTTTATTTGTGGGAACTCACACGAGAACTTCCCAGTGGGTCACCGATCATGGGATTGCTCTCGCGCGCTACTCGTTTAACTTCGGAGTTCCGATGGAACTCGAACCCAGTGAGCTCCCAAAAAGCCTCGTGCTGGGTAGGGATGAGAATATACATATAAGGATCACTCCCCTGGACGATGTGGGATCTTACATGAAGTAAATGAATAATTTTAAATCATGCTAGAAGAAACCATTGATAAACCAATTAAAGTAATTGAATTCACATAATAAAATTGGTCTCTATAGAATTTACATTAAGAATAGAGAAAATAATATTTAATAAAAAATTGATTGAATCATATTATTGGTAGTCCATTGTGAGGCTAAGCTCGT